TAATGTGTCAGAGATCTATTTTAAAATGTCATGCCCTCATTTAAATGTGTCTGTGCACTTCTGACACCTTCTTCAGACAAAACCTAAGAAAACCTCTTTTGATTTGTACCCACCAATCTGGTCAGAATTGTTCTGTCAGATGCACATCTGTAGTTGCCATTTAAATTTTTGAAAATTAAGCAAGTTGTAAGCCATAGTCAGCAATTTATATGAAATATTCAGATGTTTGAGGTATCCATAGCTTTTACAGTGTTAAAATATTACAGTCCAGAAAACTTATTTTTAAAAGATATTTTTTAAGCTTTCACAAAAAGATAACAAGAACAGAATTACATGCTGCTCTCTCACAGGATTATCATCATTTAGTCATAGATTTTGTGTCCATAAGGAACTATTATGATTATTTAGTGTGATTTTTCTGTCTTGCAAAAATATCATACCCAGTAGTGTTTTATATTAAACCTCTAATTTCTGTGAACTGTGGTTTATAGGCTTTTACCACTGTAAAACTAACATTTGCTCATGCTTACATTACACTCTTGTATTCCATTTGTGTATTTAGGAGAGAAGATACTGGCCATGAAAAGCTTTACACCTTGTTTTTCACTCCTCTCTGGGCAGCCTGGCACTCCAACACCCCCTACAAAGCTTTTCTCATTTCTGCCTATGTGGGACTGAATAACTGAACACTGAAAATAGGCACGTAATGAAGATGCCTTTGGACCTACTTCTTGTATGAGGAAGGCTGAGAAAGAGAAAAGAGGTGTAGGAGTTACTTACTGTTTGGAGTTTACTGTCCCCACTTCTCCTTTCTGTGGAGGCAGGGAGTGCTTCACATTTCCCTCTGTTGCAAATCTCTGTCTTGTTTCTCTACGTCCATCTATGAGAAGGAGAAAGATGAACTTTGTAGAGAGGACAGAAAATCCATGTCCTATTTCTGTCCTGTGGGCTAAGTATGAAAGAAGAACTAGCCTTTAATCAAGATTTTCAACATTCAGGAGATTTTTGGAGGTGCAGTGCACTACAGATGAGCAATGTTGGGGCAGTGAGAGTACATCTGGGCAGAGGAGGCAATGACATTGACTGGCTGGCATATGCTTGTTTTGGTAAGAGAGATCTTCTCTCAGAGGATGTGCTATCTGTGTGGGAATCTTTTAACATTTAGGATTTAAAATGTTGGGATAACAAAGAACAATGACTGCTAACATTGCATGTAAAAGCAGTGACATTTGAAATGAATAGGTAGGGAGCAATTTTAGGAAGTATAAGAAACAGAAGAGTAATCAGGGAAAAGGAATAGTGTAAAGCAATGGGAAGGAAAGAGAAACGTGTATCCGTACTTTGAAGATTACACTACTTTCTAAGAACAATTCAGTTAAAGACGGGATGTGTTCAGGAGACTAGAATAGCAGAAGAGATAGGGAGAGAACTAATTCTTACAAACAATGTGGGAGCAAAGGAATTGGAGGGATTGGAACAGGTGAACATTTCCCAATACTTATTTCCGAGGTGGCTGATGTATGTAATTGTTCCAGGAGATGGTGCTTTTATAATAAATCTTCCTACCACTTAAAGCCAGAACTGCAGAACATTTTACATTTGATCACTATGCAAGCAGATTATAATCCTCAACAAATAACCTCTGGTTTTCTTTTTCTCTCTTTTTTGTTATAGCCTTGTTATAAGTGGTTATAGCTTCATTTTTATGAGTGTCACTAATAGAACCTAAACTGTGGAAAACTGTGTAGTATTTAAAGCAAATATTGACATTTAGTGGTGTATTTTGTCCCACAGACTATTTTTATGAGCATTTACGGGATGTGCTGGGCAGAGCTGATTATGTCTGTTCTCAAGCTCCTGAAAGACAGATTGCAAATCTACAAATTTAAAAGTCTGGAGAATAACTGGATATAAAAGCTGGAAGTATTCTGAAAGAAAAACAACTAATGTTCTGATCTACAAGCTATAGAAATTATGATGTTCAAGCAAATATTTAAAAAAATTAATCTTGTTCTTGAACGCTTTATACAGATAAATTACGGTCAAATTTAGGGGAGGAAAAGTAGTTCTTTATGGCAGGAAAATTTTGCTTTACAGAGTATTTTGCATTTGACTTTTTTGAAGAGCCAAATAGATTTCAAGGGCAGAATTTTGTCTGTTTGAATTATGTAGGTGAGCCTTCATGTTTTATGTACCCTAACTATATTCAAGAAGATGTGAAGGTACACCATGTCCTTCATTTGGGAGGTGTCAGGTATGAAGAGTTTAGCTTATAGCTTGACTTTCTAGAAGAAATTAATATAGTTGGAAATTGTTCCATCTAAAGGAACAGAAGCAGTGTTCTAAGTAGTCAGGAATAGGTAGTCCAAGGGATAGGTAGTCCATGGAGATTTCCAGAAGGCTTCAGTGTTAACGAATCCCCAGCTGTATTTTATCAAGAAAGCTGTAGCAGTACCTGCCATGGTATTGGAAGAATGGAGAGATGGAATTGAAATATTGCTATTCTGTCTTAACTCACCTTTTAGTTACCAAGTTTTCCCTGCACATGCTTGGAGTAAGTGGAAAGCAGGTGCTGGAACCATCTTCCATCTGGAATAATTGGTCCAGATAAATCACAGGATCAATTTTGTCTTTCCTTGCACCCTACATTGTGGGTTCAGCTAGCATACCCAGTGACACTTCGTCCTCCAATGGATTCTGCCTGTGTTTTTAAGAGTACTGCAAGGTTGTGTTCATGTGATGGAAAAGCATGTGTTGCAGTTGTCTTCTGCTCTCTCCATGAGCATTCAATACTTCTCAGTTTTCTTCAACGTGCCTCCATGTGCAAAAGCTGAATTGTAAAGCATACCAGTTTCAGCCAGCATAAGGTTATCATGTATTTTTGTGACTAGATTATCTAGTCTAATTATTTTTTAGACCAAGACACAAATATTTTGTTGTTCTGAAGAACAAATTCTTATGTTTAGTGTCAGTGTTAGAAATAAGGAAAATAATTAGGCACAAGTCGCTAACTCTTCCTTGTTTTTCAAAAGCCTCTTCCTTTTCTTTAGCTAGAGTTTAAGGATGAAAAAAGCCTCTCCTTGTTGGCAGCTCTGCACACCTGGAGGTTTGACTGGGAACATGTTCTGAAAAGAGATGCTTTGAATAGGTGTTATTCTGTGGAAAGCTAAATCTCCCATAGCTGCTACTGCCATGCTCTCAGATTAAATTAAACAGTTCGGCATAACTATTAATCACTTCAATTATTTCCATCATTCCAACTCCAACGCAGCTTTGTATTTTTAGCTGGCTTAGTTATATCACATGGCCATGACTTTCAAGGCATTGTCCAAGGGAGAGAAACAACTTACTTGGAAAAAGCTTATTAGGCTGGAAGGCGAAAGTGTTCTCAGTGACAACAACCTTCTGGTTGTTTTGCAACCCCTCCTTGGCTGTCTGGAAGCAGCCTCCGTGCCTTGAATTACAGTGTATGGAAGTCTGAAAAAGAACAGTAGAGGTGTAAAAGGCCCAGCTAGCCAGGTCTTTGCTAATTCTTATGTAAGCCAATCCCCAAAATGCCTCATCCTGAGAACACAGAAAATATCTCATTGAAACCTGTGACTTAAATCCTTTCAAGAGCTGGGCATCCTTCCCAGCTCCCTCCATCCTAAAGTCTCTTACAAAAGGGATAAAGACTATGAATCCAGAGAGGGCTGGGAGATTATTGGTCCAACGGACACTTCCTGTTTTCTACCTGGATATGAAGCCAGTGATAACTTAACACTATGCATTAGGGTAAAGGTTAGAAGAAACCCCAACCTTGCACTGCTTTGTGTTGTTAATGAATGCTAGAAGACAATGGAAAGCAACTCAAAAGACTACACAAGAAAGAGAAAGATTAATCCTGTGTCAATGAACACTTTAACCTGATTCATCCATCAGTCCCACTGTGTGCAAATTGAGCCCTAATAGTGCATCAGACGTTGGCCTGTAAATTGGTGTATAGTTGTTTCTTTTTCTTCCACTTATAAATCTGTCCCAATTCCTATGTTCCTGAGGTTTTAATTGTAGTAAGGCTTACTGTGTGTTAGAGAAATACTGAGAATTATACTTGGGACAGTGGGAAAAGGTAGCTTAAAATAATTTTTCTTTTTCAGGTAACTCCTTAAACCTAAAATGTCACAGATGTTATTTTTCTTAGTAGTATCCTGCAGGTCGAATTTATCTTTTAGATCAATCAGTGAGCATCACTTGATCTGCAGAGATCTTTTAGAGACAGATTGTTACAGTTTAACAGACTGAGTTGAGAAATTGATGTACTCCTTTAAAAACTGGTAGAGGTTAAACTGAAGCTAACAGATTCAGTGTAAATCTATCGCAAAGGTATGAGAGGACGGGAGCACACTAACTATGCTCATAAAATTTCTACAGTATGAGCTTGTTTTTCTTAATATTCACCTTATCTCCCCAGAAGTAACTTGTACCCACAACTGGTAGATCCCAGTCTGTGCTGCACTCCTGAATTATGTTTTCCTGCTTGTCCTTGTTGGACTTCATAAGGTTCTTGTTAGCCCGCTCTTTCAGCCTATCCAGTTCTTCTTGCAGGGTGACTCTTCCTTCCCAAGTGTCTACTTCCCCACTCAGTTTGATATCATCAGCAAACTTCATCAGGGTACACTTGATCCCATCATCCAGATCACTTATGAAGATATTGAACAGCTTTGAGCCCAGTATCAATCCCTGGAGTCCCCACTTGTGAGAGGTTGCCAGTTTGAAAAAGAACTATTTGACACCACCAGGAATACATCCCAGGAATACACAGAGGTCTGCTGTTTCCTGGAGCAGGTAGAAAGACAAAACTACAAATTAAATATGAAAGTGAGTGCTGATTCTCACTGTAAATATTTTCTGTTCTGAATTTATGGTAAATAAGGAGCAGTGGAATAAGAAAATTGTACAGTTCTAGACAGATATAGATTACAGACTTTTTAATAAGGGTACTCATGTGATGCCCAATGATCATGTGTTGGTTACAAAGTGCTTGGTTAGATTTTCACACACCTTCTCTGTCCATCTCCAGGCCTCCGCCCCTGCTAAAGGGTAATTTTTTTATAACTGTATTTAAAATATTCCTGAAAGAATTTGCACTTACAAAGCTCTTTTGCAAATAGCAAGCCTTTTATAAGGAGAGAGAGATAAAGAACTGCAGTGTCTTAAAGGCCAATTTTTTAAAGGTATTTAAGTGCTTATAGTGATGGAAATTGAATATCGAGATGCTTGTAGAAATCCCTTGAGATGCTTAACTGTGTCTGTAGATGCTTTAACAAATTTGTTCCAAGTGGTTTGCCTAAGGTGCAGTTAGTCACTTTGAGAGAGTTGAAAAGGGAAAGTTTCTCTTACTGCTGTAGCCATTCATCATTTTTGCCTTCTTTACGACAAAGTGATGGGAAAATATAACTGTTTATAGAATCCAATGGAATAGGGGAAAAAATAGCACTGAGTTATAAAATAAAATCGAAGTCCAGCTTTTTCTGGGTGGTAGATTTCTCCTGTAAGCTCATGCTTATCACTGTAATGGATGAAGGTAGCCTCCCGCTGTTTGCAAAGTCTCTATAATCACCACATGGTTAATCAAAATTATTTGCTAAATCATTTCTACAGTGTGGTTGAGGATCTGTGCAGTATTAGGTAGCAGATCTTTGAGAGAATTTGATTGTCAAAATCACATGCTATTATTTCTCTTTTCTCGTTGATTATAATTCTTGTTGCAAAGTGAGGTGGATTGAGAACTGGCTGAATGGCAGAGCTCAGAGGGTTATCATTGGTGGTGTGGAATCAAGTTGGAGGCTTGTGTCTAATGGTGTCCCCTAGGGGTCAATACTGGGTCCAGTGTTCAACCTATTCATCAATGACTTAGATGAAGAAACAGAGCGCCTCCTCAGCAAATTTGCAGATGATACTAAACTGGGAGGAGTGTTGGATACGCCAGATGGCTGCACTGCCATTCATAGGGACCTCGACAAGCTGGAGAGATGAGCAGAAAGGAACCTCATGAGGTTCAACAAGGGAAAGTGCAGGGTCCTGCATATAGGAAGGAATAACCCCTTGCACCACGTGGGTGACCTCCTGGAAAGCATCCCTGCAGAGAAGGACCTGGGAGTCCTGGTGACAAGTTAAATATGAGACAGCAGTGTGCTCTTGTGTCCAGGAATGCTCACAGTATCCTGGGTTGTATTAGGAAGAGTGTTTCCAGCAGGAGGAGAGAGAGGTGATCCTCCCCCTCTACTCAGCCCTGGTGAGGCCCCACCTGCCATATTGTGTCCAGCTCTGGGCTCCCCAGTACAGGAAGGACATGGAACTCCTGGAGCATGTCCAGAGAAGGGTGACTAAGGTGGTTAAAGGACTGGAGCATCTTTCATATGAGGCAAGGCTGAGGGAACTGGGCCTGTTCAGCCTGGAGAAAAGGCAGCTCAGAGGGGATCTGATTAATGTTTATAAATATCTAAAGGGAGAGTGTCTAGAGGACAGGGTCAGACTTTTCTCACTGGCACCCAACAATAGGACGAGAGGCAATGGGCATAAACTGCAGTGTAGGAAGTTCCACCTGAACATAAGGAAAAACTTTACTGTGAGGGTGACTGAGCACTGGAACTGCTGCCCAGAGAGGTTGTGGAATCTCTCTCCCTGGAGATATTAAAAAACCATCTGGACAAAATCCTGGTTGATGTGCTCTAGGAGTCCCTGCTTGAGCAGGGTGGTTGGACTAGATGACCTTCAGAGGTCCCTTCCAACCTCAACCATTCTGTGATTCTGTGATCTGGTTTGAGTATTTAAAGTTTCCAAGTTTGAATTCATTTTTCCTGATATCCTCTCATTTACTTACAAACACAGGGTTTTTACTTACATACAGGGTAAGTATGAATGCCAGGTGAAATTATTTTTTTGTGTATTTACAAAAAATAGTGATACAATCCCCACAAGTAGCTTTTGTCAGTGTAATCTTTTACCCTGTTTTTCATCATTAGTGCATATTCTGAGTTTACTGTTTTTGTCATCAAATTATTTTGTTTCCATTAACCAGGATGCTGAGAAGTTGGCCGGTGAAGAGCATGCCTGGAAAGAAGTCAAAGATGCTGTAAATGAAATGAGATATCCAAAATCAAAAGAAGGTATCCTTTCAGTGACAGGCTACAGTCTGTCATTCAGTTGTGAAAACAATCCAGAGAGCCCCTAAGTATGTAGTTCATCATTTGAGATTTATTTCCTAAAGGTTTACAGTTTGGTGTTGTTTTAAAATGTATTTTTAATTAATTTGGTATTTAAAGTGTGTAATATTCTTAATTGTATTAATAATACTAGAGTCTCTGATTACTTGGATTGATACTCCTTCATGGCAGGGTTAGTAAGTACCTAGGATGTGAAAGAATATTTTGTCTCAGGTTTAGACTTCTGCCATCACAGCCCACCACTTCAAATAAATCCACTCCTAAATTAAATAAGGCTTTATCTGAAATATTGAATTCTTTGTCACATTATGCCCCTTTCCAAGTTCTCATTCTTTGCACAGCAATGGCAATAACAAGGACATAATCACAGTCAGGTTCATTGCAAACATTATAGAATCATTATAAGAAGTTATAATATATAATAAGTTATAATAATAACTATATATAGTAACAATAATCGATAATTAAACAAATTGAATTAGATTATCTTACACTAATTAACAGAACTGGAGCCTAATAGCCATCATATAGATATTCAATCCAATTAAAAAAACTAGTGAACGGCAGCAACCAAGAAAAAATGAACAGAAGAGAGGTGGAGATTTTTACTAGAAGACTATGAGAATATTGATCTCTCTCTCATCTTAGTCTATTCAGTGGAATTTCATTGGCTGTGACTTTGGCCTATTGTAACGTTACTTTTTTTCAGAAACATGGGCATTCTCTGGAGCTAGTGAGAATTAAATATTCCAGTACTCCTTTTCAGCAGCATAAAAAACAAGTTTGCATAGTGATATTTCAGACTGGAAACAAGTGATCATAATTTTTATTGTAACAAAAAACCCAGCCAACTAAGTTTGTTTCTTTCTAATCCAGCGAGATTCATTTGTTAGCAAAAGAGACACTCATCACATCTATCTCTAGTCTTCGTGTAGTTTCTAGTCTGTCTTCAGGTCCTCTGTAGTCACTGGATTGAGACAGACAATACTGAAATAGATCTTCAGGCATCCAGTTGTACTTCAGGGCCCATGTTTTAACCTGGAAGTGATATTATAGATATGCAACATGCAGTTGCAATCCTTTTCATACTAAAAGTATGGAGCCAGAATACTGGTCCTATTTAATGTTCCTATATTTAATTGCAGGAGAAATTGCACATCCTGAATTTTGCTAGGGTCTTTAATTAAGACTACTCATTTAACTGATGTTTAAAAATTAATCAAACACATTGTAGCAAAAGGTATCGGGACTGGTTGAAAAAATATGTCCATATTGTCTGTTCAGCTTCTGTTCTCAGACATGGTCTGTTTGAAATGTGTTATCTTCCCTTCCATTGTACCACAATATCTGTGCTAATTGGCATGCAGTGGCCAGTGCACTACCTGAAAAGGGGGCTTGATGTTTGTCCAGTTGCCAAGAATGAATAGAAAACCTTCGTTGCTGACTGAGGCACATAGTCATTAGTTTCTGCAAATGTAATTTTTTTAGCAAATTGAACCAACATTTCTTAGAGTTGAGAAAGTTAGTGACTTCCAAAACCTGAGCTACTGATTATAACTGCTACAATGTTGTAATGCTAAATCAGCAGTTACAGACCTTGAAACAGTATGTGTGAGTGAACTCTCATACCTAAATTCCAGTTTAAGCATACAAATTGAGGTGCTAAAGCCCAGTGCAAGGGGATTATTGTGGAGAAAAGGATTTCTCTGCATCTCAGGCCAGAGATGCACTGTTGTGACAGTAGCAGAGCTGTTTGAGGGCTGCTTCTCAATCTTGAACACATACAGGACAGCCAGCTTCTCTTTTGTCCTGTTACAGCTGATAGTAGGTTTTCTAGTTTGCAATTTAAGTATCTGAAAATCTGGTCCAAACAGATTTTGCAATATAGCACATCTGCTATTAGATGCTAGTGAGTGAACAAAGCAGTATAATGAAAAGTAAAAGCAGACAGACTAATACTATGCATCAGCTAAAATGGTAATCTTTCAAGAATGTCAGTGCTTTGTACTTTCTGCAAAAATTGTATCAAGTGGAAATAATATCCTTCATTCTTCTGTTTGTCTGTCCTTAATCAGTTGTAAAGAATACATGGATGTTTGCCAGAGATATAAAGGTTAAGGTGCAATTTTATAATAACACATTCCTTCCCTTATATGGTTCTTTCAGTCCAAGGGCATGAGAGCAATTCACAAATAATTAGTTTAGCCTTGTAACAACCATGCTATAAATCCTGGCCCAGCCACACAGTGGTCACATTCTTAAATTTAAGTATGTAAATATTCCCATGTTCAGGAAGGACTAATTACTTCATCACAGGGTTATCATTGTACCCTTAAATCCATTGCTGGATTGGGGTGAATAGTATTTTCAGTAATATCAAGATTATAACTACTGAACTTCTTGAGTTGTTTGTATGTAAAGGATTGTGATACAAACAATGCTATTACTTCTCCTACTATTATTTTTTTATTATCTGTTCTTACTGGTGTATATGGTATCCTTTTGGTGTTTAGACTGCTTACATTCTGGGACTGCATGAAGTCCCAGATGACAGTACTCATTTAAAATCTGAGATTATTGGTATTTAGCTAAAGTGTGGTCAGAGAGAGAAGAAACTGGTCCACAGAGAAGTGAAACCTGTGTAGAATAATTAAATAAGTGATTTATGGTAAGGAATATCCAACTAAATTGAAGGCAAGCCCCAGGTTAGTTTTTCTCTCTTCCAAACACACAAAAAAGTCTTCTTGTAGCAATGGAGGTAAAAATCTTCTTTACTGCCAAAATCCTTAATTCTGAACTACAGTCAGACATCAGAACTGCAATGCTTTTCTTTCTCATGCAGGAAACTTACAGCTGTACATGAAAAAAATAGTACTCTCTACAACTATTTCAAGGAGAAAGAAAATTAATTAATTGCAAGAAAAGGTTCTAATTTCATTAGAATTCTAAGCCAGATTTTGGGCAGCTTAAAAGTGTGTATCATTATTTTAATATATAAATAATTTATTATTTTTTTTAGATGCTGAGACATTTTAAGACATATTTCCTTGGGTTCTTGCCCTTGGGTGTAAGATTTGGAGAAGTATCTTAAGTAAATAATAATATTTCAGCAGCTAAATAAAAAGTATTTGAATTTGTTTGCTACATATTAAAATATCCTTTCATTTTGTTGTCTTTCTTTTACTCTTTGTGACTGAAATACTGCCTTCTTTAGAAATTGTTTTGTTAAACGTAAACAAAGTATAGTTACCTAAGCTACCATTTGTGAGTTCAAGTATGTTTTCAAGAATTTAAGGAGAGTCTGGAACGATGGCAGCTTTTTTATCTTAATGCTCTGTAGCTCTTACTCCTTGCTAACAACATTTAGAACTTGTATTTTTGTTTGATTAAAGATATTTCTTTAACTAAGGCTAATAACAGAGTGGAAGCAGGTTCTGGCAAAATGCCAAAATCTCTTGAGCAGCAATATGGATTGTCTTCCAGACACAAATATCTATCAGCTGAAAATGCTTGACTGTGCCATGGATGCTTGTATTAACCTTGGATCCTGGGAAGAAGCTTTGTATTATGGCAGCAGGACTCTGGGACCATACAGGTAAGAGATGTAATTGGTTCAAGTGTTTCCAAAGGTGGAGGGAGAGGAGGCTGTCTCATTAAAAGCAAAGACTGTTTTGTCTAGATGGTTAGTTCTTACTGTTCTTATTTCTTGCTGTATATCTTGCCTTGCTTTTTAGGTTAGTGGATGGGGCAGAACTCCCATTCTGCTTCCACAGTCAGGCTAAGGGCAAATAAAATTATAATAGGAACTATAATAATAACTGATTATTAGCTCCTCAGTGTTTCATGTTCAGATGCTGCCCCATGCCTGCTCAGAAGCTGACTTTCTGGTTCAGACTCCATTGCCATGAGGGCATCAGTGTTTGATGCTGAGCTAGGTCTAGCTTGAGTGATAAGTAGCTGACTGAAATAATGTATATTCTCTGTATACTCTATATGGAAATAATTCAAAAAATCTTGCAAAATGCAGTTTCTGGTTTAAATTAAAAAGCCCATGGTCCTTATTTTGGGAAGGGGCCAAGGTGGTGAAGCAATTGCTGTTCTCTCCTGGTCAGTACTTGCTCCTATGCTATGTGTTGGAAGAGTTTCTGGGTCTGATGGCCTTTTATCAGTAAGAAAGGGTGCTCTAGGAGATCCTACTTCATGTGGTAGGTCTTCAAATTTATTGTAGTCTGGACCTGTAATGTAACTTCTGTCATCTAGTGGAGAAAGGGCAGGTGCTGTCTGCTTTGGTCAGTGTTCTAAAAGCTCTAAGACTCATATCTTTAGGGTTTGGATATTTGCGTTGCTTGTAACTAAATGAAAACCTGTGCTGAATATCCAGATAGGTCATTCACAAATCAATGTTCATTTTTGGCAAGGTATTTTTTTAGAGCGTCCATTTCTTCTCTGTTGGTTCTTCTGCACCATGGGATGTTGCAGTACTTAGTGGGATGCTGAGAAGTGTGAAGGGCATGCTAGTGCTGAACAGTATGTGCTGCTGTGACTATGAACATCTCAGATTTTACATGTCTTTCCTAATCAAACCAGGGTGCCATCAGCATTCAGCATTTTGCCTGAGGAAATTTCATCTGGCAGCCTGTTTCTGAATAAAACTCTGGGCTTTACTTGAGAAACAACACAGCATTTCAGAGCTTTCACTATACAGTAATCAGCGAGAAATCTGCATAGACTGTGGTACACCAGAGCTGTAGAGAAGCTCAGTGTTCATAATGACTATTACTTCTCATAGAGGAGGGCATGAGTGCTTACAAATTCTCACATTTCTTCAGAGGGAAATTCACATGATGCATGTCCCACTTAACCTTTCAAACAGGGCTTATGTAGTACTGCAGCAGTACATGCTTCCTGCCAGGTTTCTACTGTGTGGCATGCTCCAGAGGAACAGAGTAGTCTGCCTGTTTAAATGTTCCCTTATTAAATAAGAAAAAACATTTGTTCGTTTTTATTTTATAATTTGTTAACTCAGTTCTTCACAACTGAAAACTGAGGATTTTTCTGTGGGCATTTCTGAGAGCAGAGATTACAGTGAGACCAAGTACAATTTTATCAGATAATTTAATAAAACTTTCTCTGTTTTGCTTACTGAAGTGTGCTGTAGTTTTCAATCTGTTTAATGCTGGAGTTTGGAGATGAAGGAAAGGGTTTGACTGTGCATTCAATTAGTATCTCTTAAGGAATGCTATTTACATGAGATATTTGACCTTTTTGTACCTTGAAGAGCTTGTCCTTGTTCTTTCCTCATCCAAAAGCATTATTTAAGAGAGATTTTCAGTTGCTGTTTTTTCTTTATACCTTCAAGTCTTCACTACAAGCTTTGACACACCTAAAACAAAATCCTCAGTTTCTCATTGCAACAAATTGTGCCCTAAGCAGCAGGAGAGCAAATCCTAGGAAATATTTTGAGATGCATTGAATTTCTCCTGTTGAATCAATCTTCTGCTTGGCTGCTCCTGCAGTTCCATTGTAGCTATCTATTTTCCTTTCCTCAGCTCTGGAAAAAGTATTCATATAGCTCTCCACAGGGAATCACCTGAGAATTCGAGCAGTCCATATAAATAGGAAATCATTGTTACGACTTTAAAAGCTCTGGAGATTTGTTCAAAACCAGTTTTAATTTCAGGTAATGTGTTTATTGTGTATTTTCCAATTTTTTAGCAGCAGGATTATTTTTCAGTGCTGTGTGACACATTGTATCGTAATATATGTTTACATTATGACGGTTGGTGACTCTTTCAGACTCATGCACTTCATGGAAGTGGTGGAGACAGATGATTAAACTACGTAAAACTGATTTGTCATACTGAATACTGACCTCTATGTTTAAGGTAGTGACAATAACCTATGAGGAACATTGTTTAGGACCTCTCAATTATTTTTAGACCATCCAAAAGAAGGGGAGATGGCAGCAGTCAAGATGAAAAGCTGTCTTCTCTTTTTGTGCTGAACCATAGCTGTCCATTATTTGTTAAAACCTACCACATGTACTTTCACTGAATAGCCTAAGCCAAATTATCTACACAGCTTTTCTCATAAATGTCACAGTAATAGTCTTTCTGTCCAAGAGCCTTAACAAAAGTTAAGACATTTGCCTAAGTGAAAGCTGCCCCACATCATAGTCAGCACTCAGCATCTCACAAAAATAAACTTCCTTTCAAAAATCCTCATGAGCCTTAACTGCAGAATAACACAGTATCAGCAAGAGGTGTTACATGGGTTTGTCATATCTCAGTTAGCACATTCACACTCTTGTGAAGGACCGGAATCATAGTAAGGCAGACTTCCCTTAGGTTACCCCTGAGGAACAACCCCAGTGTTTAGCGCTTAAATTGCAAAGAATTGCAAGTTCTGGGGATTCAGATGAGGTTAGTTTGATTAGTTGGGGGTTTTTTTCCATTGTCTGAAGTATTCAGCAGTGCTTACATTGAAGACAAACAGAAGTATGCATCTGTTATAAAACTCTGCTAGATATCCTCAGTACAAGAGTACTAGGGGGAAAAGAAGTAGCTAAATGACACTATGGGCCTACTAGATTTAGGAGCATAAGGGACTGGGTAAAGCTCTCTGGACTCCTGTGGCGTCAGGTCTGATGAGATTCTGATACAGAGATGAAAAACATGTTCATCTGTTTCTTTTCTGCACTGCTCATAATCTCCTGC